GGCTGTGCTACCCGCACGTGGCAGGTAAGGCAGAAATGCCCCTTATGGGGATACGATCGAAGACGAAGGGGGCGAGTACCGAGGGTTTTGGATATACGTGTTGGATGGCACGCGAGCAGATCGGAACGAGCAGACTCGAAATGTATGCAAGGGCAATTGAGTGTCACCAAACTGTGCCCCTGGCCCGCGGTTTACAACAATAGCGGCTCCCGCCTGATACTTCCGAACAGTTGATTCCCAAATCGCGCTCTCGCGCGGGACTACCACCCAACGTATAAAGGACTCGCGCTCTTGCGGGAATTCCTTCTAATTTATTCAGACGCCGCGCCCCTGACTTTGAGGAATCACGCCCTCGCTTTCGAGTTCCTTTAGATTTATCCGTAAGGGCTTCACCCCATGCCGCCGGCCCCCTGTCTCTGATAATGAGAGATGCAAAAGCTAAATCATGAGTTCTGGGCGCCGCCGTGAAGCAGTGTCGGGACCTGTTTGTTCTTCGATCCTGACCCTACGGATCTGTGTCATTGGTGCCACCGAATTTTCGAAATGTGGCAAATCCCATGTGTTTTTGGACCCTGACCTTACGGATCTGCGTGAGGGATGCTGCCGCATTTCAGAAATGTAGCAAATCCCATATGTTTTTGGACCCTGGTCCCGCCGATCTGCGTGAGGGGTGCCACCGAATTTTAGACATGTGGCACATCCCACGTGTTTTTGGACCCTGACCCTGTCGATCTGCGTGAGGGTTCCATCGAATTTCAGAAATGTGGCTAATCCCGTGTGTTTTTGCACCCTGACCCCGCCGATCTGCGTGAGAGGGGCCATCGAATTTCAGACATGTGGCTAATCCCGTGTGTTTTTGCACCCTGACCCCGCCGATCTGCGTGAGAGGGGCCATCGAATTTCAGACATGTGGCAACTCCTATGTGTTTTTGCACCCTGACCCCGCCGATCTGCGTGAGGGGTGCCAGCGAATTTCCGAAATGTAGCAAATCCCATATGTTTTTGGACCCTGATCCCGCCGATCTGCGTGAGGGGTGCCACCGAATTTCAGAAATGTAGCAAATCCCGTGTGTTTTTGGACCCTGACCTTGCCGATCTGCGTGAGGGGTGTCAAGTTTTACCCACCCCAGCAATTCAGAGCACACGCTCAGGGCGTGGTAAAAATGTCCGTTTTGGGCCTCCCCCCTCGCGTGGTTCATCAATTTTAGCAAGCCGCAAGAAGCAGAACTGTTACAGTGGAAATATGCAGCAAGAAGCAGATCTGTAACACTGGAAACTGGAAGCTGCAACTGGTTCAGGAAACTGCGAACCTTCGCCCTACAGCCTGGTGGCCCCACAAGGGGGCCGGCGGATTTGTGAATCGTTCCATCGTTCGAGACTTCCTCGGGACCCATGCCGGACGCAACCCACCTGTCTATTGTCCCTTCCTTCCATCCGTCCTCTCTTCCCCTGCCTTAGGGTCTGCAGGAGATACACGTTGCAGCTAAGAAAGATGCGCCACTACGTTGGCACGATCGAAGAAGACTAAGAACGCTGGTATCGAGGGTTCGAGGTATACGTGTTGAATGGGACACGAGCAGATAAGAGCGAACAGTCGTACAGTGGTTGTTGTTGTTGATCCTCTTCCGTCCCCTTGCCCTTTCTATCCATCCGTCCACTCTTCCCCTGCCTTATGGGCTGCACGAAATACACGTTGCATGTGAGAAAGACATGCCCCCAAAGTGGGATACGATCGGAGACGAAGAGTGCGGGTATCGAGGGTTCGGGATGTATGTGTTGAATGTACGCAAGCAGATAAGAGCGAGTCAACATGATGGTTGTTGTTGTTTCTGTTAATGTCTTTGTTGAATTCTCCCGACTAAAATAATGATTATTGTTGACCCTCCCGTCCGGGGCGCATGTTTTGTTCAATTGAAGTGCCTTTTGCGGGGCTCGTGCCCTGTTAGTAATCAGGGAAAGTTCTGGGTCTCAGAATTGTGTCTTTGGCCCCTTGTTTGCAACAACAGCTGCTCCCGCCTGGTAATTCTTCACGCTTGCCTGACGGATTCCGCTCGCGCTGAGGGCTTCGGCGCAATTCATACAGAAATCGCGCGTTCACGTGGAATTGCCTCGCAATTGATTCAGACGGCGCGCCTCCGACACTCGGCAATCGCGCTCTCGCTTTGGATTTCCTCGCAACTTGTTTGGAACGCTGCAGCATCCCGCCTGCTCGACCTGGCCGCCAAGGCCCGCCTTCCCGACTCGCCCGCTCGGGTCTGTCCACACGAGCTGTCCGTCTGGTTCTGCTACGTGTGTTTTGCTCCTAGCCCCCCTCCTGATAATTCCGTGCTCCATTGGTCCCCCTCCCCCCATCAATGTATCCGTTTTTCCATTGCTTCAGGGGCTGCACCAAGTACGCGCCCGTAAGGAAGATATGCTTCCACGGGGTTACGATCGAAGGCTGCGGCACAAAAAGGTTGCACCACATAGATTGCTACACCTAGGTTGCCGAACGCGTAGTGCACCGCATAGATTGCGCAACGAAGATCGCACTGCATATACTGGACAGTATATATATATATATATATATACATGACACAACCGAAGTCGCACCACGTAGGTTGCACCACGTTGGTTGTAGCGCATCTATTGCAACAAGTAGATTGTTCCTCATGCGTTGCACCACATAGTTGCTAGACGCACACTGTGTGGGGTCCAAACTGGGGAATATTGTGCAATAGATGTGGCGCGATCTAGTATGTCTCTTTTTATAAGCGGGATGACACATTCATTGTTCTTGCAAACGCCCCACCCGCCGACCCGCAACTTGCTTTGCAAAGCCCATCCGGCGGCGATTGTCATGAGTGCGTGGCGTTGGCATGTGCATCCCTGCGGCCGCGCTGGCCCGCGCATTTTCGGGCGCACACCAGCCATCTAACTTGGCGCGACCGACGCGGCCGCGGTGGAGCTGACCGCTGGGCACTTCCCAGCCGGCACTTCCGTGCGTACTGGTCATTTGGGCGGGCGCGGTATCATGGCGACGCCGACATCGGTAGACCCGACTATGAGAGTAGCGATGGCGACGGAGGTGGCGAAGACGACGGCCAGGCCAATGACGGCGCTGATGTTGATCGTGCCCGCCGGTAACGTTGACAATGTCTTCGCGTCGGCGATGCAGGTTTTTGACGGAATTCGACATGCGCGCGCGGCCGATTCGCGCGATTGGCCCGCGTTGTGTTACTTGACTGATCGTGCCCCCCCCCCCCCGGCACGCGCGCAAGAGTGTTCGAATGAGTTTGACATGCGGCGCGGGAGGCCCGTGCAAGATAATTTGATGAACATGTTGGGAAACCGATTGTTCCCTTGAGAACCCGCATGAGCGCTACCGCAGGATTTGTTGAACACTGATGCTGCACACCTGAGTTTTTTGGTTTTGAATGATTTCGGGGCACCCGGTATTGAATTCCCTGCGAAAGCGAACGTTCGTTTCTTTTTCGTCTTCTTCAGTTGTTTCGGCATGCGCGCGCGACGACGCGAGCGTGTGCCTTTTTCGTCCTATTTGTTGCAAGGGACTTTTGCGACACCGCGCGCGCAAGGACGTTCGAACGATTTCGAGACGCTCGTGCGACAGTCCAATATGGGATCATTGTATGAAAACGTTGCACAAGCTAATTCGTTCATATCTGGAACCCGCAAGAGCGCGGGTGCATTTTCTTGGGGACGAAGTATGTGTTGCAATACCATGTGTTTGCATATGTGTTCGTGACACTCGATTGTGAAGTCCTTACAGCACCGATGTACATTATATGTATGTGTATATTTGTATATGCAAACATCTATACATACATACCGTCGGCATGCGCGCGCGCGAGGACGCGCGCGTGTGCACTCTGTCCCGCTTCCAAAGGAGATTCCTGCAAACTGCTGAATTCTGATCAACCAGAGTGCGCGCATATTTTTTGGCACAGCATGGCGCGGGGGGTCGATGCAGGCTGGGCGGGGGTGGTATGGGTTCCGATTAAGAATTGGCGATGGGGCAGCATCGTATGTAGATGGGGAAATCTATGCGAGTCGGAAGCGTGGCGGCGACGAGGCCGCCACGGCGACAATGCAGCCGCCGGACCCAGCAATCAGGCCCAGACGACAAGCGGCGACGAGGCGGCGACGTGGCGGCGACGGCGACAATGTAGCCGCCATGCCGACAGTCAGGCCAAGACGACGGGCTGCGACGGGGCGGCGACGGGTTGACGACTGCGACAACACAGCCGCCAAACCGGCCCGAAAGCCCAGACGGCGGGCGGCGGCGAGGCGGCCACGGGGCGGCGACGGCGACAGCATACCCGCGAGACCGGCTCGCAGGCTCCGTTCTTCAGAGAAGAGGAAGAGAGTCTTCTAAGTGCAAGCGTTGTATGGGGAACAGGGATCGCACAATGTATATTGCACAGCATCTATAGTACAGCACAGATGGTTCAGCATCGATCTCACAAAGTGATATAGCACAGCATGGATCGCGCCACATAATTAAATTGTACCACGTGGGCCGCACCGTGTATTCAGCAACATATATGTTACCACGCGTAAGTTGCTTCAGATAGGTTGTATAACACACATCACTAGACAGTCACATTCACGCACACACCACACACATTCAATCACACAGATACCCACACTGGGGTCCACGCTGTCTGACATTATGTTTCCAACGGGCCCGTCCAAGGCTGTCCAACAGTGTGACCACTGCATGGGACGATCTTTGCAAGTGTGCCTGCGCATAGCCTAAGCGCGCACAAAGCGCGCGCGTGGTTCAAGCAGGTTGGGCACCACCTCGAACTGTTTGACACCCACCCTCCACGTCTTCCTCCTCCCCGTCTTCCCCTGCCTGTCTTTCCGTCCCTTCTTCCGCTCCCCCCTACCTCCTTGTTGCTCCCTTCCTTCTCCCCCCCTCCTTTCTCCCCTCCATCTCTTCGCCTCTTTGTTGCCCCCTACCTCGCTCCCCGCTCCCAGCTCGTGCTGGCCCTGAGGTAGAGCCGCCCGACTCCAAGTTTCAGTACTTGCTGCTCTCCTGCGAGCCTTACGAGACGATAGCGTTCAAGGCGGGGCCTCCCTCCGCGATCGCCGCTCGAGCTCGGCACACCGAGGCCCCCTTGGCATCGAGACTCGTTCGGAGGGGGGCGAGAGAGGACGCGTGTGAGGGAGCGCCGCGTGCCAGGCGGAGTTGGGGAGGCGCCGGGCAATGGCTCGGGTGCACTCTTGCCGAAGCTCGCCTGCCTCCGCCCTCCTCCCTCCTCCCCCCTCCCTCCTCCCGCGCTGCAGGTCGTACATACTCTTTGTGACTCGATGTGCAGGCATCGAGTGTAGCTTAGACCCGTGGCCCGACGCTGTCCTTGCCTTGCTTTGCTTCTTTCCTCTCTTGCTACAGGGTGGACAGGCCCCGACTCACCCGCCGCCCTCGTGGTTCCAGAGGGGCCCAAACCCAACGGGTCGCCTGGTGGGTCTGGTCTGGTCTTGTCTGTCTGCCTGGTGGGTTCTCATCCTTCCTCCTATTCCTTCCCCTAGGAGCCCTTTCGATCCGATGTCGGTTCTGGTCAGCCCAATCCATTCGATTCCGATATTCCGGCGATCCGATGCGGTTGTTGTACATCCTGATGCAGCCGATCCGATCCAATTTCGATTCCGTGCCGATGCAGGTCGATCCGATGCACATCTCGACTTAGTCCGACTTGGTTCGGCTTACCTATTCGATGCTGACTGATCCTGCCCCCCTGGCTGCCCCGCCTCCAGGGTTCTCGGTCGCCCAAAGTCGAGCGGGTGGTAATGGGAGGTGACCTCAATGGGGCATGGAGAACAGGGCCCCAGGGGGCCCTTACAGGGCCCCGTGTAGAGCCAGCTGGTGCCCAGAAAGGAGCCCAAAAGGGATTCTTCAGGGCCTTTTTGTCTTCATCCGCCCCCCCCCCCGGTCACCCTCCAATATCGCCCACCCGGCAAAGGTGCCCAATATGGAGATAGACAAGGACGACAACAAGTTCTTCGCCAGCTGGGACGGGGCCAGAAAGGTATTCACGATGCAGGCCGCCCCCCCCCCCCCCAAAGCGCCGCCCGGGGCGGGCATCGCCGTGGTTGTTGTTCTTCGATCGGGCGTAGTAAATCGGGGCCATGATCGAGATTGTGTTCTATGAAGAGGCCCAAGGGCGCAAATAGATGGGCATTCGCCTCAGGATTCCCAATGTTTTGCCCTAGTTGTTCGATGCTCGTCTTCCCCCGCCACCTCCCACAGTTTCCAGTATTTTCATGGGAGTCGCCGCTTGTGTTGTGAGCGTGTCCTTCTTCCCCACCTGATCTAGCCGGTGAACCCGAGACGTCGAGGGGTCGCCTCTCTCCCCCAGTCCCGTGGTGGTACCGAACGTGCGAGGGGGCCGGAGGCTGGTTCTCCCACAGGCGCGGCGCGCTGCCCACAGGCCTGCTGTGGTGCTGACCGGGGCTGGACCTAAACGGTGTCGTTGGCGATGTCGTGGGCCGTTTTCGTTTCGATGTCGTTCTGGGGTAATTCACGGCGACTCGAAGACAAAAGCCAGGGAAAACGAACACGAAAAACACCGTTGAGGTTCAGCCCTGGTGCTGACAGGCCTGCTGTGGTGCTCACGGGCATGCTGTGGCGCTCGCGGCCCCCCCCCCTTCCCCCCCCTGTAGCGGACGTTTTTTTCGTCGGCGGCGAGGCGGAGGCGATTCGCACCGGCGTCGGGCCAATCGGGGGCACCGATGTGCGAATTGTCCGGCGTGCAAGAAAACGAGGGGGAGGAGGGGGCGGCCACGCGGAGGGAAGAGGAGGTGGGCGCTCGGAAGCGGAGGAGCTCCGCCGTGAGCGGCCAGCCAGGGCCGCGAGGCCGCGGCCGCGGCCGGGGCCAGGGCCAGGGCGCACCCGCCTCACGGACGTTGCAGGGGGGGTGAAAAACAGTCCAGCTGCCTACAGTCGGCCCGGATGAGTGGGTCGACCCTGCCAGCTCACGGGTACCCTTGTGTCCTGTGCCTCGCGACACGTGCCTTCTTACTCTCCAATGGCGATGTGGCCCTGGGAAAGGTCTTGTTTCCTCTCGCGTGTCCTGTCCAATCAAGGCCGACTGTACAGGGGGAATGAAAAGCAATCCAGCTGCCTACAGCAAGTCCCGCCACCGCGCTTGGGTTGTGGGCTGGAAGCCTCGTCGATGCTCGCGGGCATCTCTCGCGGGAGGCCTCTCTCCGGGGCCCCTCGGAAGAGGTCTCGGGGCCTCTTGGGGCTCGCCCCGGGGGCCTCCTGAGGGCCTCCTGGGGGCTCGCAGGCATGGTGTGGCGCTGGCAGGCCCGACCTCCCTCTCTTCAGGAGGGGAAAAAGCACACAGACACAAAATCGTGGATTCCCCGGAAAATATGCGAAAATATGAGAAGTGGGGGGGAAGACAAAAACATAGAAAATCGGGGAAAGTCTGGGGAATCCTGTTATTAGTTTGTATTTGTTTATGTGTCCCAGGGCCCCTTCACTTTCTCCCTATAACGGATGTTCCAGAACACTATCCCATCGGGATCAATCGCTCCAGAGCGTTCCGCCGCGCTCTGAGAAGGTTGCGGTGCCCGACGCGCCCCTCAGAGCTGCCAGATCTCAGAGATTCGAGATTTTCATCCCGACCCGATCTCGTCCTGATCTTGCCTCCGTCCGAAGTGTTCGATGCTTCCCCCATCCCTACGGGCCCCTTCAGTAGCGATTCCTGGGCGAACTGTCGAGAGAGGGGAAGTGGGGTGTAGCATCCGTGAAGCCAAAGAGGGGGTGCACCAGTCAGACCAAGAGAGGGCTTAGCCGAACCAGCCTTCCCCCCTCAACAGTTTGCTCATGTCGGGGAGCTGACTGTCGGCTCTCTTGTGGGGCCCACCTTGAGGGCTCAAGCGATAGCTTCGATTTGAAAAGGAGCCGCCCTAAATCCGTACAGTGCTACATGAAGTTCCAGGTCTCCACAAATGAAGAGCGACTCAAGTGCGAGCCCCATGTTTGAGGAACAAACTTCTTCCACACTTTGAATTCACTGTTGCAAGACTTTACGCGGTGCTTCGGCGATAGCTCCATTTCGAAAACAGCCTGTGCCCCCTTATGATAACCGCTGCAAGTTTTTAAGACAACTGTGCGCAGCCCTGAGGCGAGAACCCCACTTTAAAACAGATGACGACCCTGAAGACGACGCCGACCCTGAAGACGGCCGGGGCCACCGACCCTGAAGACGACCACGACGAGGACGAGGAGGAGGAGGGGGAGGAGGAGCAGGAGGATGAGGCGGAGGGCGCGGTGGAGCAGCAGGATAAGGAGGAGGAGGAGCATGACGAGGAGGAGGAGTGTGACGAGGAGGAGGAGGAGGAGGAGGAGGCCGATGAGGATGGGGAGGGGGAGCAGGGGCAGGGGGGAGGACAGGGCCTCCGGGGAGGCTCTCGGGGGCCTCTTGTGAGCCTCTCGGGGGCCTCCAGGGGCGTCCTTGCGGTTTTTTGGGGTCGTCTTGGAGGCCTCTTGGGGCCTCACGAGAGTTTCTCATCGGCGAGGGCTCGAGATGTCCGTTCGGGTCCCCCGTCTGGGTAGCCTCTTGAAGCGGTCTGGGGCGACTCTTCGCGTATCTTGGAGGCGTCTCGGGCCGTCTTGGGGCCCTTTGGGCCATTTTGGAAACCTCTCGGAGAACTTTGGGCAGTGTTCGGGCGACCTTGGGGGCCTCTTGGGCCGTCTTGTAGCGGGGAAGCGGAAGAGGCGAGAACGCCCAAATCCTTCAAATATTTAAGGGACCCTCCAGCACCCACCCACCCGACGGGGGAGGGATCAAAGAGAAGGAGCCTCCCTTCGACTAAACCACGACGTTGATCAATTACGCTATGGCTGGCGTGCTCGAGGACGGGGCTTGACCTAAACGGTGTTGTTGGCAATTTCGTGTGCCGTTTTCGTTTCGACTTCGTTTTGCAGGAAAGGCGGATTCGAGACAAAAGCGAGGGAAAAGCAACACAAAACGGAGAAGAGACACACCGTTTAGGTGCAGCCCTGCCTGAGGAGGAGGTCCCGGGGACAGGGGGAGAGCGGCGACGGAGACGAGGCTCCGCGAGGGACGGGGCCTCCGAGTGGCCAGGAGAGCCCTTCCCGGCCCCCGAGCTTCCAGGACGCCTGGAGGCCCCGTCAGGAGAGGCCCCCCGCCCTCTCGGAGTCGGGGGTGGATACCGGGAGGGGAAACAAACACACAGACACAACTTATCTTCGACCACCAGGGAAATGAAGGACAATATGGGAAGTGGGGGTGGATGTCAGGAGGAGAAAGAAACACACAGACACAATGTATCGTCGATCACCAGGAAAGTATTGGAAAATATGGGAAGTGGGGGGGAAGAGACAAACCCAGAAAATATAGGAAAATATTTGGAATCCTGTTATTTGTGTATATCTATTTGTGTGTCCCAGGGCTCCTTCAGGATAGACCTCCTACCCTGACGGGTCGATTACGGAATTGGCTGTTTTCGGTTCGCGAGAGGGCGTCGCGGCCGTCATTTTTGCGGGTCCAGGTCCGCCGGTTTCGGTCCCAGGCCTTTTTACAGAAGGGGAGGTTTGTTAAAGGGAGGCGTGTCCACCGCCGAAGGAGGCCCCCCGCCCTCTCAGAGGGCTCCCCCTGCGTCAGGGTGCAAAACCTGGGAGGTGGAGGGCAGCGTCGGCGCTGGTATGATGCCCGTGGCCGCAGACCGGCCCAATCCGGCACAATCCAGCCGAACCAGGCCACGCCCAGTTCAGCTTCATCCGGCTTCATCCCGGGCTGCTTCATCCACATACGCACAAAGATACACAGACATGCACGCCCGCCCGCACGCACAAACACAAGCATAAACACAAGCACAAGCACAAGCACAAATACAACAAGCACAAACACACAACCACACACAAACGCAATCACAATCCAGAAACACAAACACGAACACAAGCACAAGCACAAGCACAAGCACAAGCACAATCACATTCAGACGCACAACCACGCACAAACACACGCACAAACACAGGCACAAGCACAATCACAACGCACAGACACAATCACAAAAAAAGCACGAACACGGACACGAACACGAACCCGACCACGAACACAAACAAACACACACAAACACACAAACACCCGCGCACACACAAACACAGAAACAACCACAATCGAAACACACACACACACATACACAACCATGAACACGAACACGAACACGAACACGAGCACGCACACGCACAGCACACGCACACTCAAACGCACACGCACAGCACACGCACACGCACACGCACACGCACACGCACGCACACAGACTCACCCGCCTCTCCCCCCCCACACACACAAACAAACAAACATGCAAACGAACAAACAAACAAACACATACACACAAACTCATACAAACACACACACAAAACCACACAACCACACACAGAAACACACACGCAGACACAAACCCAAACACACACACACACACACACATTCAAGCACACAATCATACACAATCACACGCAATCACACCCAATCATACATCAGCACACACAACCACACACACACACACTCACACACAATCACGCACAATCACATCCGCACACAATCACGCACAATCACACACACGCACTTACACACAATCACACAACCACACAATCACACAATCAAAACTGGGGATCCCCAGGAACTCGCCGACAGCATTGGATGTGAAGGTGAAGAGAGTCCAGAAGATGTGAGGAAGCGTGCGGGATCCTTGGGTTTCTGTCTACTTACTTGTGAGTCCTTCGGCCTCTCCAGGAATGCTGTCACGATTTGTCTCTGCGATGCCAAAGCCCGAGGGGGCCGGGCAGATCTCGAGAGAGACCTCGAGCCCGACGGCTGGTGCGTCCCCGGCGCTGTCGCAGAGCGTCCGGCACCACGGTCTGTCACGGTGGGGGGCGCGGTCATTACGGCATGCCCCCCGCTTTCCCCCCCCGTCCAGCAGTTCCCGTGATCGCCGCGAATCTAAGAGATGCCCCTCCCCCCCTCCTTGAGACCGTGTTTTTTTTGGATCGGCGATAACCCAGGTTCTCCCGGGGGGTGAGGGGGGGAGGGGGCCGGCCGATAACCGAACCTCGCGCCGTGGGCAGCCCCGCATGTGCCCGCGCCGCCCCCTCCTGCGGACCTGCACAGCCGGCGATGTTAGGTTATCCTGGGGGGGGGGGGAGGATGGGGCAAGCCCGAGAGCCCGGGCCATCGCCCGACCCCCGACCCCAAAAAAGCAGCCTCCCTCCGCTCCACCCCCCTCGATCTCCCGCTGCCGCCGCGCACACAGCAGGTGCTCTCTCTCTCTCTCTCTTCCCAGGGACCTCAGCCCCTCGGGTCGGCCCTCGACGGCCCGAGGGGGGGCCAGGAGGGGCCCCCCTCCCAGGGGGGCTCCCCGAGAGAGCAGAGAGCGCCAGCAGGGAGCACCACGGCGCTGCGATCCGGTGTTGCCACGCCCGGATCTGATCCAGACCTTCCTCGTCGGGGCTCAGCAGACGGGGGTTGTCGGGGATGGACAGAACCCCCTTTAGTAAAACGTGGTTTAGTGAAAACGACCTGAGGCCCAAACCTGGCGGGCGCAAGCCTGGAAAATAACGGCCACGGCGCCATCTCGAGAACCGAAAACGGACAATTCACTAATCGACGTGTCACTGTTGGGGGTTCTGTCCACCCCCGAGGTTGATGCAGACGGGGGTCCGCCAGAGCGTCGGATCTTGCAGGATCCTCCTGCAGTGCCAGGGTCCCATTGACCCAGGTCTGGGTGCAGGATCCTTCGCTTTGACCCGGGCTGGGGCGCAGGATTTTGCAGGACCTTGCAGGATTCTGCAAGGCCTGACTGACCCGGGTCTGGATTGACCCAGGTCAGAAGATTCCCAACCTCGGACGGGGCTATTTGTAGGGTGGGGATAAGTCCGTTCCAGAGCGTTCCGGAACGCTCAGGGATCGCTCTGAGAAAGCCACGGCGCCCGACACATCCTCCAGAGCCTCGGGACCTCAGAGATTCTCGATTCATCCTCACTGGGCTTTGTCGTCGTCTTTGCTTCGTCTTACTCCCAGGTGGGGTCCGAGTGCATGTCGGAGGCCTACGCAGCATCGTCGATGTGGCTCGATGCAGAGGCCAATTTTCTCTACGCCGACGTCGCTGAGTTGTTAATGCTCTCTCCCTGCTCGCTCCCTGTGCTCGCCGCAGCCCCGCCACCGACGCTGGCTCAAGCCACTCTATGAAAGGGCGCGCTTCCCACGCGCGCGAGGGGAAAAGGGGAGTTGGATCGTTTCGTCTTCGCCCTTTCCTCCTCAGTCTCTTACTTCTACATCTCAGCTCAACGGACTGTCGAATATTAAAAAGCACATGTGATAGACCCATCATGAGTGATGGAACCCATTTTCATCACCATTTAATCCCACTCGCCGGGAATCATGTTCTTCTGGCGAGTGAATCGATGACGCTCCGCCATTGCATCGCCGTTGCGTTGCTGATGCCTCGCCGATGCATCGCCAATGCATCCACGATGCGGCGTGGTCCCCATCGGCTCCGACCCTTTTTGGGATGGCTTCTGTCTGCTGGGAGGGGACGGATCTCGCTTGGCATCGCTCGGACATGTGTCTTTTTTCTCGGCGAAGCTTCTCGAGGACCCTTTTTTCGGTCAGTTTGCGACCGAACCAAACGCGCACGAAATCAAACATGCACGGGGTTTAACAATTAACGTTTGCATGACAATAAGAATTGTTGTGCACGCCTGCCGCCTGTCATATCACACGCATTGGTTGTAATTCGTTCGCTGTTTCTCTTCTTGAGCGTAATCGTTAAGTTCATAGCCCGCTCGGCGTGGCGCCTGCTGGACCATTGTGTCTCTTACAGCAGGGATAGATATATTGATAGGGGAAGGGCCGTCCGAGCGATAGCGATCTCGAGGGGGCCTCCTCGGTGTCGGTCGGCGGCGGCCCCTTGCCAGATCTTCTTCAAGGACCGGGACCTGCAGGAACTGCCCGCGCTGCCGCAGCGCGCTGGCGCGACACAGCTGGCGTTCCACGGTGGGGCTCCCTCTCGACGTTCGACGAAAATAAAGGAACTCGGAGGTCCGCACGGATTTCTCGGATCCGCGCTCGAGCCCCCTGGCGGCGACTCCGGCGGAGCCCCTGGCGCGCTCCGCGCGCCAGGGAGGGGGGTCCAGCGCCGATCCGAGAGATCTGCGCGGACCTCCTAGTTTGTACTTTGATGTCCTTCTTCGTTCCCCCAGAACGAGCAAGCGACACCACCCCGCCCTCCATGTTGCGCTACGGCCCATCGGGGGCCGCAGCGTGCGCCATGCGGAAGCCCGAGCCGGAATTCACAGTACATGCTGAGGCCCGTGGGACCGTACGGTAGGTTCGCGTCGTGTCGACCGGCGGCGACCCCGCCAGCGGCGTTCAACTTTGAACGCCGCCGGCGGCCCAGAATCGGTCGATGTTGAACGATCGGACGTTGCGGAGACGGCCGATCGTTCAAGGTTGAACGATCCAGCGCGGTGTCGGGAACCAACGCCGGGGTCGACACGGCACGGACCTGCCGTAGGTGGGGTGGTGTCGTTTGTTTCCTGATCCAGACGTTGCTCCTGCTCGTCCTGGGAGCAGCGCCCGCGCTTTGATGCTGCTCCTCGGTTGTCTCCTCGTCCTCCTCCTCTTTCTCGGCCGCCGCCGCCGCCGCCGCCTCCGTCTCGTCGTCCTCCTCCTCCTTCTCTTTCTCCTCCTCCTCCTGCTTCTCATCTTGCGCCTTCTTCTCTTCATCCTCCCCTCGGGTCGGATCGTGAAGTGAGGGTGTACGAAGTCAGCTGGCCGATTTATCTGCGTTATATCACCGATGCCAGGTTGATGTTTCCGCCCCTGAGCTGGTCCCCTCTATCGTTCCCCCTCACCGTCAGGGGAGGAAAACCTCGACATTCTCGCGTTGCGAAAACCAACACGAGCATGCTTGTTTCGGCTTCTGAGGCCCTCGCGAAGCCCTGGGACCGTCAAAAAGCTACTCGGGATGAAACAAATCAGTGAGAATGTGTCGAGACCTCCAGGGGTTCACGTTGTGGAAAGTTGCCGGGAGTCTGGGAAGGGGGGGATGGGGAAAGGGGGGGTACGAAGTCTGCTGCGTGCAGCTGGCTTTGGCCTCGCCGCCAGGGGCTTCCCCCGATACATTGGCGCCTCTGGCGTTGGAAGGAGCCAGGACACCCAGGTGCGTGAGCTGGGACGGAGGAGGAAAGGGAGAAGGATGGTGAATGTTGATATTACTGGTGATGATGATGATGATGATGATGATGATGATGATGATGATGATGATGATGATGATGCTGATGCTGATGCTGATGCTGATGCTGATGCTGATGATGATGACGATTCTGCCTATGTTGATCATGATGATGTTGCTGATGCTGCTGATGATGACGTTTTTGCTGATGATGATGGTGGTGATGATGATGCTGCTGATGATGATGGTGAGGACGAGGAGAAGGACGAGGAGGAGGAGGAGAAGGAACACGAGGAGGAGGAGAAGGACGAGGAGGAGGAGGAGGAGGATCAGGATGGTGAGAGTGTCGGATCAGGAGGAGGAGGATCAGGATAGAAGCGAGGCGGGCCGGGCCTGTACAGGAGGAGGAGAGGTGCGCGAGCAGGATGATGATGATGATGTTGATGATCATGATGGTGATGCTGATGCTGCTGCTGATGATGCTGCTGCTGATGATGCTGCTGATGATGATGCTGCTGATGATGATGATGAATATGATGCTGATGATGATGATGCTGATGAATATGATGATGATGATGATGATGATGATGATGATGATGATGATGATGGTGATGGTGATGGTGATGGTGATGGTGATGGTGATGGTGATGGTGATGGTGATGGTGATGGTGATTGTAATGATGATGCTGATGATCTTGATGATGATGATGTTGATGATGGTGGTGATGATGGTGATGAAAAGGGCGATGCTGATGCTGATGCTGATGCTGATGCTGCTGAGGATGATGATGCTGATGTTGATGATGATGCTGATGATGATGATGATGATGAGGATGATAATGCTGATGACGGTGATGAGGAGGGGAGGAGGAGGAGGAGGAGGAGGAGCGAGGCGGATCGAGGGGAGCCAGGGAGGTGGGAGGGCGAGGAGGAGCGAGGAGGAGGGCGAGGTGGAGCGACTCGGGAGCGAGGCGGAGAGGCCAGGAGCCAGGATGAAGTCGGGCCTGGCCCTCTACATGGGGTAATGTTCGAAAAGAGTCAAACAAATAGTCGGGGGACCATTTTTGGGGGCATTTTGGGGCGGCTTTTCCTTTTTGGGGGTATTTTTGGGGTATTTTGGGGCACCTTTTGAGCATTTTTCTGATCTTTTTCATCGTTCGTCCAATATATCCCCCTGCTGGAGAGGGGGACAGGCTCGACCTGAAGCCAGGAGCAGGGCGAGGAGGGCGAGGAGGGAGAGAGGACCCCCCGCGGACCTGCGAGGCGGTGGCGGCTTCACGCGGTGACGGCCCTCCCGCGCCCGCGGCGGCCGCACGAGCGCTCCTCACCCGCACCATCCCTCTCCTCGCTGGTCCTCCCTCTCCTCCTCGCTCCCTCCTGACCCTCCTGTCCCTCCCCCCTCCCTGTGCGACGATCTCCCATGGCCCAAACGGCAAGATCAAAGACCCTCCTGTCCCTCCCCCCTCCCTGTGCGACGATCTCCCATGGCCCAAACGGCAAGATCAAAGACATTACACACACACACACACACACACACACACACACACACACACACACACACACACACACACACACACACACACACACACACACACACACACACACACACACACACACACACACACACACACACACACACACACACACACACACACACACACACACACACACACACACACACACACACACACACACACACACACACACACACACACACACACACACACACACACACACACACACACACACACACACACACACACACACACACACACACACACACACACACACACACACACACACACACACACACACACACACACACACACACACACACACACACACACACACACACCACACACACACACACACACACACACACACACACACACACACACACACACACACACACACACACACACACACACACACACACACACACACACACACACACACACACACACACACACACACACACACACACACACACACACACACACACACACACACACACACACACACACACACACATCGCACGGCGCCCTTGCCCCTTCTCCTCCTCCTCCTCGCTGGGCCTGCGAATCTTCTGGACACGTTCGGGTCAACGACACTGGACCACGGCATCTTGGTGTCCAGCGTTTTGGGGCAGCCGACTCCTTGTAGCGAGCTCTTGGTGGCGTGTTTGCGGTAAAAAACACATGTCCCTCCCCCCTACCTTCTCCGGCGACGCTGCAGTGTTTTGTTTCGACGTGGCCCCCACGGGGACCGATCTCGTCCTCTTTCTGGGGCCGGCTCTTCCTCCAGAGTTGTGTTTTGACGGTCCTTGGGGCAGGAAAAGACTTCCAGATACCGAACTCGTAGAATCACTCGGTGACGTACCCAACCCTTTCTAAGCATACGGCGACCATACTTAGGAACGCTCACTAGACACGCACATGGTGGCCGTTACGCAGTTGCCAGCCCCCCAGGGCGCCGCGAGGTCTCGTCGCGGTGTGCGTGACACCCCACTCCGCCCTGCCTCGCAGGTGCCAGTCTCCAGGGAGCCGCGAGGTCTCGGCTGGGTCCGCTTGGCCCCCCACTCCACTGGACCTCCCCAGAGCTCACGAAAGTGGCGACGGTTGCGCATTTCGCAGCCCCCCCCAGGAAGCCACGAGGTCCCAACTAGATCACCGTGTCCCCCCATTCCGCGCGACCTCCCAGGAGCCCACGAAATTGGCGACAGTTGCGCAATTCGCAGCCCCCCAGGCAGCCGCGAGGTTCCATCTGGATCCCCGTGTAACTCCACGCCGCGGGACCTCCCTGGAGCCCAAGAACGTGGCGACGGTAGCGCACTTCGCAGCCCCCCAGGGAGCCGCGAGGTTCCAACTGGATTCCCGTGTGACTCCACGCCGCGGAACCTCCAAGTAGCCCACGAACGTGGCGACGGTAGCGCACTTCGCAGCCACCTAGGGAGCTGCGACGTCTTTAATCAGTGTCCGTGCCCCCCCATTCCGCTGGACCTCCCAGGAGCCCGCGAAAGTGGCGACGGTTGCGCACGTCGCAGCCCCCCAGGGCTCCGCGAAATCCCAACTGGATCCCCGTGTCCCCCCCACTCTGCGCGACCTCCCAGGAGCCAAAGAAAGTGGCAACAGTTGCGCAATTCGCAGCCTTCCAGGGAGCCGCGAGGTCTCAACTGGATCCCCCCGTAACTCCACGCCGCGCGACCTCCCAGGAGCCCACGAACGTGGCGACGGTTGCGCAAGTCGCAGCTCCCCAGGGAGCCGCGAGGTCCCAACTGGATCCCCGTATCCCCCCATTCCGCGAGACCTCCGAGGAGCCCACGAACGCGGCGACAGTTGCGCACGTCGCAGTCCCTTAGGGAGCCGCGAGGTCCCGACTGGATCCCCGTGTAACTCCGTTCCGCGTGAACTCCCAGGAGCAAACGAACGTGGCGACACTTGCGCACTTCGCTGTCCCCCAGGGAGCCACGAGGTTCCAACTGGATCCCCGTGCCCCTCACTCCGCCCCGCTTGCCAGGAGCCCACGACTATTGCGGCTGTTACGCAGTTGCCCGCTCCCCAGGCGCCGCGAGGTCTCGTCGGGGTTTGCGTGACCCCCCGCCCCTCCGTCCTGCCTCGCAGGTGCCAGCTCCCAGGGAGCCGCGAGGTCTCGGCTGGGTCCGCTTGACCCCCCACTCCACTGGACCTCCCCAGAGCTCGCGAAAGTGGC